TACTTTTCTCCTCGAGCCTCAACCCAGGCATCACCGTTGGTGTGGGCAACGATCTTGAAGGGAACGTTGGCAATGTCATTTTGCACCTCGGCGTCCTTAAACTTTCGACCGATCAATCTGGCATCGGATGAGCGAAAATAAGAAAGAGAAGGATGTCGACATACCGCTTAGAGGCAAAGATGGTGTTTTCACCGTTCACAACAGCCTGTCGCCTGGCGGGTTGACCCACAAGTCGCTCACCGTCTAGTCATGACCGTCAGCTCGTCTCTTTTTTCCCTCGCCTGCGTATCCCTCAATCGCCGAGATCGGACTGATCACTCACCCTTGGTGAAAGCGACAACAGAGGGTGTTGTTCGGGCACCTTCAGCGTTCTCAAGGACCTTGGGGGCACCACCTTCAAAGATACTGATCGACCAAGTCAGCAACTATACCCAAAACAATGAATCAATCAAACTTACGAGACACAAGAGTTGGTTGTACCAAGATCGATACTGTATTCGGTTAGCTTCCACCATGTCTGCACAGTATGCTTGCCACTCACCCAATGACGGGGCCAGAGACCTTGCCAGAGTTGAATCGCTTGTTGGCGAGGAGGGGAGTGGACCTCTGTGGCAAAGCGTCAGCGAGAGCGGCGGGACAAGCGTGGGACAGGACTCACGGCGAAGGACCTGAGGGGAGCCTGGGACGACCTGAGTGATCTGGAGAGGGAAAGCATGGCGGTGGATGGGAAACTGAATCGAAACGCAAAAAGAAATCGTCACAAGGCCAAGCGGCAATGGAAAAAAGAATCCAGCACATTCGAGCGGTCATCGCCGCCTCTCCCACTCGGCCGTTTCGGCGATACTTCCCGAAATGAGCTGTATCAGCTGTGGCACCCGTCTCTACAGCATGTACAAGTGCATGGAAGACAACGGAAATGGCTGGGTATACATGGAACAGTACATTGTATCAAATAGAGTGCGTCTCAATGCCAATCACTTTCACCCCCTGCCTTCTCGGCACCCCGGAAGAGAGATTGTTGCAGCCTGTAGGTCGCGTCAGCCACGGCAAATGTGAATGAGAATCAGACTGACCCCATACTCGCAGCTGCTCGAGCGCAGGGCACCCGTCCAGCAGATCCTTAATCAAGAAATTGTTGACCTGCCTACACCATCCGACGTCGATATACTTGGCATGCTTGCACTGTGTCAAGCTCTGCAGCGACTCGATCGACAGCTGCCTCCATCCCAAGATACTGAGCCACTGCACGCTCTCCCCCGAGTGCGCAATAAGCTCTCTCAAGGCGAGATCCTCGCATTCATGCCCTTTCTCCAAGTCAATGACTTCTAATCCCGGGCGCTGCTTTTGCTTGAGCGATTTGAAGAACGCCGCGATGGCCTCGTTGGACAGCTCGGTAACGTTCCGCAGGTGTAGATTCTTCAGCTGAGGGCAATGCTCGGCAATGATGGGAAGAATGTCATCTGTGAGCTCTGCGTTGTCTGTGAGATCTAGCGTCTCCAGGCCGCCGCCGACTGCTTGGATGAGCTCGATGACGGGTTCGTCGGTGAGCGAGACCGCTGGCGAAGAGAGATCGAGCGACCGCAGCTTTTTGAGCTTTGCCAGCTCGGCGAGCATATCATTATCCAGTATGACTTCTTTCAATCTGATCTCTGTCAGATTTGGACATCGCTCCACCAACTCCTTGACGGTCTCGACATCGATTCTCGGCGATTGCGTGATCAAAAACCCTTCCAGCTGTTCACCCAGAGCTCTGAAAAGCTCAAGCCAAGCTGGCTTCCTCACGAGGAAAGGGCCGAGCAGCTCGAGACGGGTGAGCTTGGTCAAGGTCTTGGCCCAGTGGGAGACGGCGTCGGTGGAAAGTTGGCCGACCAGATCAAGGCGTAGAGAGGTGAGGTTGGGGTTGAGGTTGGCTAGGGCTAGGTAGGCGGGTGGATCGAGTCCTGCTTGGCATGAGCGAGGGTCTCGTAGAATTATGACTGGGCTCACGAGTACAGTCAAACATATCCAGCGATGTCCTATCCACAGCATAGAACAGCGGGGCAGTTTCAGGTGTTCTGCAGATTGTCAGTGGCACTGGCAGCTACGCATGAATCAACTCACAGCCTCCTCCCTTTGCAGATGATCCTGCAGACTTTATCCATGTTGATCCCGCCAATATCCCCCAATTGCTCCACATCTTCGATATATTTACCGATCAAGCCGATGCACATATCCCCTAGGGTCTTTACGCCCTTCTTCTGCTCATAGTGGATGATCTTGGCTCTGTCCTTCTTAGGGGCTTTCTTGGCAGCAGCCTTTTTAGGTTTCGCAAAAGGATCAATGCCGAGGGCATAGGAGCACTGGACACATAGCCAAGTTTGGGGCTGTGAGGGGTGTTCTTTCGTATATGCCGTCTGCATAATCATCAGCGTGGGTCTCTTTTCAGACGGGTCACTTACAACAGTAAACTTTTTCTCGCACTGTCCACAGTCCATAAACTGCCCGATAGCCTTTACAGGCCCTCGAGCCACCCCTTTGCTTGGAGCCTTCTCTGCCCGAGATGTGCTTGGTCGAGCGGCATAGTCATCATCGGCGTCCAGGTCGTCAGAGTCGATCGAAGCTGCTCTCGATCGCTTGGGAGTTGGTACCCCTTCACTCTATAGCTTCATCAGTACACTTGGAACGATTGACACTCATGACACCCACATCAGTCCCTCGTCCTCGTTTGAACCCTACAGGCAAATCTCCCGGTTCATCCAGTACTGGCGTCCCCTCGCCCACCCTGCTGGGTCCAGCTTCCACCGTTTCCCCCGTAACAGCATTTGCAGGATCTACAACTCCTTCCTCTGGGATAGCATTGCCTTCGATGGTCGATCGGTCGCCCCATGTGTTGACTCTGTGGGCTGGCTCGACTCCGAGACCCTACGATCGGGGATCAGCTCCGTCTCTGTGGTGTCCAGTAGTGCTCACAGCAAGGAAAGATGTGAGCGCTGAAGAGGGCCCTCTTACGGCGCCGCCGCCTCGAGCTCTTCTTGACATTGCTATGGTTTGTACAGCACCAGTCAGAATTAACTCCGCAATCTTGCGGTGGTTGACTGGACTGCCTCCACTCTCGCTTCTGCCACGAGCAGCCGGCGTTTTCACCCATATCTCACGCCCCCCACTTAGCCGGGATCAATTCCATCCACCAACCCGACCGCCCAACCAAGATTCCTCCATTCCACCCAACGCCCTCCTAGCCCCTACACCCCCCTTCCTCATCTACAATGGCCTCCCACCGCGCCGCCGTCCTCCACGACAAGGACTATGTCGAGCCCAACCCTCTGCCGAAGAGCGTGCCCCACGTGGACGAGGTCGGCACAACCTCGGCGCCGTTGAAGAGCGCGAGTTTCTTTATTGGACAACATTGCAAGGAAGTCAATGGTGAGTTTGCTGGATGAACGGGGCAGATGGCCGGTCTCTGATGGTGGATGAAGAGGACTTTATGCTTTGCAAGCAGGAGAACAGGGATCCGGCGCATTGTCTTTTGGAGGGAAGGAAGGTCACGCGGTGCGCGCAAGAGGTGTAAGTGGGCACCGGCTCTGGCAAGGGTGGGGCTGATAGAAGCGCAGGATCGGAAAGCTGAGAGAGAATTGCCTGGCCGAATTTGATGCTCACTGGTCTTGCTTGGAGAAGAACAACCAGGTACGGTCCAATTGTTGATGAAACGCGACGGATATTGACGGTAGGGCGATCAGCATTTCCAAGCATGCCGGAAACCCGAAAAGGTCTTCAACACATGCGTCTTTACCAAGCTTGTGAGTATCGGTCGTCTGCGGCGAGACATGTGCTAAATGACGTGAAGAATCTCTCTAAAAACATTCCCGGATCACCAGAAGGACAACCACAAATTCACGAAAAGGCAAACCCCATCTACACCCGTGTACAGAAATAGATCACTTCCCCTTTGTACATAATGCAGCATATCATCGACAAGAATGTCCATTTGGCTTGGTGTACATCTCCCCTACTCGTCATCGTTCTCCCCGCGTAAACGCTTCTCATCCTCCCGTCTCTCGAGATCCTCATCCTCTTCTTCACTTCTATCTCGCTTCGTCCTGTCGGCAAAGAACTCTTCACCTCGGGGCACGTCTGCGCCTGCCATACCAAGACCGCCGACAGCGGCATAGGTGTCGAACTGCATTTGAGAACGTAGTTGGTCCTGTTCTTGGCGCCTGCGCTCTTCTTCGAGACGTTGGTGTCCCCATCCGCCTGCCTCATGTCAGATCCATGAAGACTCTCAGAATTGTACTCACCTCGTCCGCTGTCGTATTCCTGTCTGAACTCGTCTCGTACTTGCCCACCGCTTCTTCCTCGTCCAAATTGTCTGCCCTCCTTGTACCCCGGGTCCAAATCACATCGGACCACTCGCTCGTCTAATTTTGTTCCGGAAATGTAGCGGAGACAGTTGACGGCTTCTTCGTGGAGGAAATATTCCACAAAGGCAAACCCGCAAGGCGTCTTGGTGTTTCTGTCGAGGCCCATAATGATACTGCCGGTTGACGTTAGTGACAGTTTCAAGACATTGAGTCAGACATACCGCTTGATCCCACCTCCCAATTCCGGAAGAGAACATGTCGCGAACACTAAACTCGTTCAGCACTACAAGTGGTGTATAGACAAAACTTACATTGATACATCTGAGCCTCTGTTGTGTAGAAACTTAGGTTGCCGACGTAAAGGGTGGTGGACTGTGCCAAAAGACGGCGCTCAGTCTCCCGGTCGATCTGTTTCGGTCAGCACATTCCTCTGTGATATTGAAACATGACATACTTCCGACCTGTTGTCCCTATATGTAGAGGGTTGGTCCAGATTTGTGACTACTTGTGCCATCTTGATTATCGTTTATGGTTGCCAGATGTCCACAATCTTTGTTGATGAGCGGCAAGTAAGAAGGCGGGCGTCACCGCCTACCCACGTGGGCGCGTCTGGCTGTCCGTCATCGCGACGCTCGCTATAGATATGGGTCAGCACCAAGCACACTACAAGCTACATACACCCCTGCACCATGTCCGGAAACAATGGCATGACTGATGCCCAGAAGGTGCGTGCACATATGTCCGGACCCGGCTCACCCCGCAGATGCGTCTCAAACGACTCGCAAGACTGGGCACTTCTGCCAACACCCCTCAGCCACAGCAACAGGAAGAGTCTCAGGCAGAGTCCTCCACTCCGCCGCCCGCCCATGCTCCTGCATCCGCTTCTTCTAGGCTCCTTGCGAATCTTCCCCCAGCATCCTCCTCCACTTCCCCCTCTTTGACCCCTAAACCGACAGCGCCATCTCCAAAGCCGCCCGCGAAGCCTCACCTGGCTCAGCCAAAGCCCAATTCCCCATCGTCAACGCTCTCTCTCAAGAGGCCCTCAACTGCTTCCACACCAAAATCCGAGCCGGTGGGACCGAGAGTCGTCTCGACAAAGCCGCTTCAGCCTCTCATCAAGGCTGACTACAAGACGTGGGAGACGGTCCAGATCGGGCGAGTGTTCGCTGTAACCTTGAGCGTACGTATCATTAGAGTGTGTGGAGTATATCTGTACTCATGCTGTGGGTAGAGATCAAAGGCCCAGGATAGTGATTGGTCGATTTGCTGGTTGAAGGATCTCGAGGAGGAGCTGAAGGAAGAGAGTGAGTAATCATTTGTCAACGCCGCCCCAAATGTTGACGTTGCAGACCATCCCCAACCACTTGCAACCACACCCGACCTGATTGATCGGCTGCTCATTGCCCGTCTCTCTATCGACCCGGCTGTCATGGCAAAATCGGACGACTCGGACAAGCTCACCATTCTGGCCGGTCTTCCGCAAAGCGAGACTGTATTCGAGTATCTTGCGGGGTGCTGGAAGCGGATCTACAGTGCAAACAGGGACGCTCAAAAGTATTCCTTTACTGAGGAGGAGAAAGGACAGTGGAAGCAGGTCATGGAGAAGATCAAGGCGCTGGTCGTTTCATACTGCGGCATGACCCTGGAGGATCCAACCATGTTCCCGCAACCCGAGGGGTAAGCCGTCTCGCTTTAGAACGAGTATCGTCTGACATTCAATAGCAAGCCCACTGGACCTGCCGAATTTCTCCCTCTTCTACTGTCCATTCACCAGCCCATCGCTGGTGACCACCTCACTTCTGCTCCCGCCCCTCCTCCCACCGTCTCCGGCCCTCTACAACCCGCCGACCTTCTCCCCTTCCTCCAAGATCTCGCCGCAGGCTTCACCCCTGACACTCTCTCGGACGTCATCTCCCCCACTCTTTCTCTCTTTTTCCAACAATGGTTCAGCATCTCGCCCACACCAGATATCCTCGGGTCAGAGTGGCGCAGGTATTTGGGTGCGATGAATGCGTTGGTCCAGGTGAAGGCCGTAGCGGGGCTGCTGCCATCACTTCCGATATGGGTGGCACCAAATGTGGTAGCGCCAAAGCTGGAATGGCAGTCCCTCTTGGGACCGTTGACCAGGCTTAGTGTCTTTCCTAGAGAATTCGTAAGTGCCCTGCTGCCTCGACAGACGTCTTGCTCATAGTGCCCAGCCCGAGATCTGGAAAACCTACTTCTCCAACCCAACAGAGAGAAAGAAGGAGGACATTGACGCCAACAAGAGCAACCTCCGTTACACGCTCAGCAGCCTTCACGCATGTCCTCTTCCCGATCATTGCACTCCCAGCTGACTCCTGCCCAGACATCCATCTTTAACGTTTACAATTCCATCGTCCGCGCCTCCCCTGAAGCCCGTGAATCTGTCCTCGACTTTTTAGCTCTCACCCTCCGCCTCAACTCGCGTCGTGCGGGTATGCGCGTCGATCCCCGTCTTGTCTCTACCGACGGGTACATGACAAACTTGCAGGTGGTCTTGCTGAAACTGTTTGAGCCTGTAATGGACGCGAGGTTTTCAAAGATTGACAAGGTTGATGCGGCGTACTTCAAGTTTTCAAAGAGGATTGACATTTCGGAGGAGACAAAAGTTAGAGCGACGAAGGAAGAAGCGGATGGGTACTTTGGGGAAGCTATGGAAGGTACACACGCGAGTCTGGATGCTGTACCGTGCTTACACGATAGAATAGTTGACGCTAAACCCAACTTCATCTCCGACTTGTTCTTCCTTCTCAACGCCTTCCTCCACCTCGGACTCGTCAAGACCATCTCTACGCGCGGCCGCGCCGAAAAGAACTTGTCGGAGATTGAAAAGGAGCTCAAGCGTACCGAAGCGTCCCGTGGTGACTGGGAGGGCAATCCCGCTTTGACAGCACAGGGCGAAGCGGCGATTAAGAAGCTCAAGGGCGACTTGGCGGTTCTGCATGCGTCGATCCATGCTTACGACACTCAGCTCCTGGACAACAACTTGATCAGGCCTACGGTGTCATTCCTCGGATTCTTGATGACTTGGCTTGTCCGCCTGGTCGACCCTGACCATGCTTTCCCTGCCAAACCAGTGTCGCTGCCTTTGCCGAAAGAGGCGCCCATAGCGTTTAGGATGCTCCCCGAGTATCTCTTTGAGAATGTCGCCGACTATTTCGAATTCTTGGCTAGATATGAGCCAGAGGCGTTGGATGATGTGGACAAGGATATTTTCATCACATTCTCTATTGTGTTCCTCACCCCCGACTATGTCAACAACCCCTTCATGAAGGCCAAGTTGGTCACGGTGAGTTGAAGTCACCTAAAATAGCATGCCCGGAGCTGATTGTGAGCAGATCTTGTCATATGGTCTCTACCCTGTCGGCTACTGGCGCCAAGGCCCTCTTTTCGACAGGCTTAGTGTCTTGGGTGTCTCGACCGAGCACTTGATGCCTACGCTTATCAGATTCTACATTGATGTCGAGGCCACAGGTGGCCACACACAGTTCTGGGGTGGGTGGTCATCGTTAGGGATGGCAGAGTTGGTACTGATGAGATGGCGTAGACAAATTCAACTACCGACGTGACATGGGGCACATCTTCAAAGCTCTTTGGGGTAACCCTCTCCACCGAGAAGCGTTCATCAAGTCTAGACAGCAAGTCATTCTATTGACGCACTGGACACTAGTTGATCGTATATGTAGTGACGACTTTGACCAATTCATTCGTTTCGTCAACATGCTCATGAACGACACCACTTTCCACCTCGATGAATCCCTGACTGGTCTCACCAAGATCGGCACTATCGAAGCCCAGCGCGCCAACACTGCCACCTGGGCTGCGATGGACCAGGCCGAACGGCAGGATCTGGAGGGCGAGCTCAATCAGGCGGAGGGCTCTGTGCCTTGGCATACGCAGATGGGACTGGATAATGTCAAGCTGATCAGGGACTTTACGGCGACGACGATGGAGCCGTTTGTAGCGGCGGAAATCGTGGATCGTTTGGCGGCTGTATGATTGTCTCCTGCTAAAACAGAATATAGCTGACAGGGGCGCAGTCGCTGGATGAGAACCTGATGACTCTTGTTGGTCCCAAGATGACCGATCTCAAGGTCACCAACCCCGACAAATACAAGTTCAAGCCCAAAGACCTCCTCGCAGCCATCGCCCAGATTTACCTCAACCTCGCGTCCGCACCCGAGTTTATTCGCGCTGTTGCCAACGACGGACGAGCGTATTCGAAAGAACTTTTCGAAAAGTTTGCGAGGACGCTGAAGAACAGGGCGATCATGACGGAGAGTGAGGTGGCGGAAGTAGTCAGCTTCACGCAAAAGGTAGAAGATATGAAAGCGACGATTGATATGGAGGACGAAAGGGAGATCCCGGACGAGTTCTTGGACCCGCTGCTTTCGACTTGTAAGTGGATTTGTGGATGTTGGGCCGGTTTGGCAATGCTTATTAGGGCTTGCAGTAATGAAGGACCCCGTCATCTTGCCCGTGTCCCGAATCAGCATCGACAGAGGTACTATTCGTACCGTCCTACTCTCCAAGGAAGCTGATCCTTTCAACAATGTCCCGTACGTCTTGACATCTTGTCCCTGACTACTTGCTGACTTGTTGTATCACAGGCTCAAGTTTGAGGAATGTCTCCCTGACGTTGAATTGAAGGCCAGGATCGATGCTTGGGTGGCGGAGGGCAGCACGAAGCAAGCAGATTCTGTGATGGATGTGGACCAGCTATGAGATATGCCGCGATGTCTAATAACTGAAAAGAGCAGTGTAGGTTAAGAGTACAGACCAGAAGTAAATGTAATGCGATCGACAATGAGCATCATGCATACCGAGTCTCAGCCAACAGAACCGGTGTCGCCATAGCTCTCCTGGCCCTGTATCATCAATAGGAAGCATCACCTCTCGAGAGCCCAGAGCCCCATACACCACCCCGGATCTTTCGCTACCACGGGATGACTTAAAAACAATTTATCAGAGCGCACGCAAGAGAAGTCCTCACCGTGGGGGATCACAAGAAGGAGAGGTTAAGAGGAGGCGGCCAGACATGACACTGCATCAAGCGTGTGGTACGTTATCAGGAGGATTGTGTGGTCTTCTGGCCATGTTCCTGAGGTGCACTGATACGAGTACACTATCAAACGGACACAAGGCCCCCGACTCATGGAGGGAAATACGTGTATGCAAACAAGGCGTGGCATATGCGGCGAGTTAATGGCTGCTGTAATGACATGCCGGAGCCAGGTGTCAAGCAACGTGTCATGCACATAGCGCACGCTGCCACTACTTATACGAATCTATCTATCCGGCGAAGCATTGTACTACCGCCCTCGAACCAAGTGCTATTATCAATCAACGCTGAACACTGCTACCATCGCCCTGCGACATCGACAACTCCCTTCGAAATTGGTGCCTTCTCGGGTGATGGGCGGAATTGGCAGATCGAACACACTCCCCTCTTCCCTACGTCGTCCTCGCTCGAAGTGGAAAGTCCAGAGCCAAAGCGGTGGTGTTACATTGGAACATGTTTCCCGATACAGCGCCCAGCTTATTTCTCCTCGTCCCTCTATCGTTCAAGAAGAAGTGTCGCTGAGGAGGAAAGCTGGCAAGAAGGCATTGAGACAAGCAGCTTGTGCAGCGGAACAAGACCCGAAAGAAGGGAGAATACGCTCTGCCAGCATGCCGGGCAAACTATTGAAGAGGCGTGAAAGGGCTATTCAGCCCTTGTCACTGGCGGGTAGAGGAGTACGTATTCATCAGCTATTGCTATCATTGATGAAGGACCTCTGCTAAGACTACAATTAAGTCTCCCTTGGGCACTCTTTCGCCATTCACTCACCATCAACGACTGAAAACCCCTTCCCCGCCGCCAGCGCATACTCTCAATACAACTGTCTCCGATGGCGCGTTACATCTCAAACGACACCACCGGCGATCCAGGTCCCTCTCAGAGCTCGTCCTATCTCCATCTCCCCCCTTCCCTCTCTTTCAGTCAGCTCCCAAACCTTTTCCAACAAATCAGCCATGGCGTTCTCGCGACGCTTGGCTCGCGCTATACGGTGCGCCTGAGCCATCGCCAAGAGCCCTGTTTCCGTCAGCCATGGGCACTGCCGCAGGCTGGAAGGGAAAGGGTGGGAGCACGTTCTTTGGGGCTGAAAGAATCAGGCTGAAAAGTACCCAGGAGAGAAGAGGCCGATACGCGAAGCAGGTAGCATCAGAGCATCAACTAGTGCCATCGCCGCCCGAAACACCCAATTTCCTTACCCGTCCCAAGCCCAACATGGTCAAGGACAAGCTCCAATCGTCTAGAGGCCTCCGCGTGCCCACCAGCTCTTCCTCGTCATCTTCCTCATCGTTATACGGCACCTCTCCTTCTTCATATTCGAGCTCCCCAACCCGGATTTGCTATCATGCCCGAAGTCAATTTGGTTATGACGAGAATGACGAATTACTCCCTCCGCTCTTGCCCAATTGTTCTGCCAGCTCCATACCGGGACCAAGTCCTATCCCATGGGGGCGTTCCAGTCCTTCGCCTTCACCAAGAATATCACCCGCAGCGCCTACAACGCCGACTAGCCGAACACAAAGCAGTCCGCTCGCGCTACTCCCTAGTATTCCCAGAGAATGGGTCCATCCGAGCCCTTCCCCGTCGTTGAGATATGTTTCCAGCGAGTACGAGCCTCGAGAAACGCGAGAAGGTGCAGCCCTACAAGCCATCTCCTCGAAGAGGGGTTTATTATCGATTCATGCCAAGGGTGCGAACGAAGCAGAGGCGGGTAATCTGTGGACCGGACAAACAAAGTGGGAGGTAAACGAAGAAGGAAAAGAGGAAAAGAGAGACCGGGTAAAGAGAGAAGGAGGATGGAAGCGGCTTCTGCCTGTTTCAAAGAGCAAGTAGACTATCAACAGGAGAAGAAGTGGGAGGGGACTCGGTCCTTCGCTGAATTTTGCGCCGGCACATACGCAGCCGAGATGTGAATTTGAAGAGTTCATTATTGAGCAAGCTGTACTTGACCTGTCGTCCACGTCAATAATACAGTCACATGAAAGCTTAAACAGAGAGGCATGTCTCACTACCTGGTTCGGCGAGAGGGCATCGAGACCAAAATTTGACGAAGACACAGCAACTAACTGAATGCAAAACGTGGTGCCAACGAGCGAAACAACAGTACAGTCGACAGACATAGCGGTTGACGACTGGTCGCGGCGGGACAGGAGGACCAAACAACGTCAGATCTGGCCTCTGGGCATCTGAAATTCAGATTCCGCTGGTCACTCAACATCTTCCGACAACGAAGCGTGCTCTCGACAGAACCATTCTCTGACCCACGGCAGAAGCCCGGCACTAACAGAAACTCAGATTCTGCCCATGCAAATCCATACATCATTGATTATCAACGTTCGTAGTAAAGCCCTAAAGTCGGCATTCGATCGATGAAGATAATGGGTTCATCTATTCTGCCTGTAGAGGGACAAGCCAGATGGGTATTATCGATGGTACAGGGAGAGGAAATCCACAGTTGAAGTGTCCCGTCGATGTCCATAATTGATGAGCATTTCGTCATGTTCGTTGCTTCCGTCGCGGCGGGACCAGATCCGCGACAGGACCAAACAAGAGGTCAGACTTGGGCATCTGGGTGGAAGTCCGGATCCGCCTGGCCACTGCCCACTCGACGTCCATTAACAAAGCGTGCTCTCGACATCTACAACCAGCAGACATCCAGCACCTACAGAGATCCGGATACTATCGACATACATCGTCGGCTATCAACCACTCTTCAAAGCGACTGCTATAGATTCAATCTCCAGCAGATAACCATCTTGCCCTTCTCGCCCGGCTATGTCTCTCCCCACCCCTAATATCGCTCACCTTACAGAGGAAGACTATGACCATGTGTATGAGCCGGCAGGTGCGTAATGCCTGTACCAGCGCGCTACCTCGCTGATACATCTTTGTAGAGGATTCCTTCATTCTGCTGGACGCCTTGGAGATTGACGCTGAAGAGATACGGTTGTCAAAACCCGCGATCAATGTAGAAATAGGGTGAGAGAGGTCAGCTGAAGTGAACACCAGCTTACTATTGACGAAAGGTCGGGCTCTGGAGTTGTCTCCACTTTCTTGTCAAATTTACTTGGGCCGAACGAAAGCTGTTAGTCGCACTTCCTCCGTCAACGTTGACGATACCTCTACTCATGCACACCGCAGATGTCATCTCGACCGATATCAACAGCTACGCTTGCAAAGCAACTCAAAGAACTGCAGCTGCCAACCAAGTACGTCACTTTCAGTCTTACCTTCAACCGCGCTTATGCACTGTACTATCTAGACCACCTTAGATGGTATCAATTGCAACCTCCTCTCTCCTCTCTTCTCTCGTCTACACCAACAAGTTGATATCCTCCTTTTTAATCCTCCTTACGTCCCTACAGATGCCGATGAGTATGCCGATGGACCTTGGCCCCGCGATGGCGGTTGCTGATAAAGGTGTATAGGTTGAGCTTGACACAAGAACAGAAGGATATAGGAGGGGCTTGGGCTGGAGGGTTTGATGGGATGGCAGTGACTAACCTTGTGCTGGACCAACTACCCGTGGGCAACGCTTTTGGATACGATAAGGAGCTGAGTGCTGACCGTTGGACAGGATCTCTTGTCTCCCGCAGGGCGTCTGTATCTGGTGGCTGTCCAGCAGAACAAGACTACCGATATAGCTGAAAGAATGCTGGCCTTGGGATTGCATACAAAGGTAGGCTTGGACAGCGGTATCGAGGAGAAAGAAGTTTCTGACTTGGGTTGCAGGAGGTAATCAAACGTAGAGCTGGGAGGGAGCACCTTTCAGTCCTCAAAATCTTCAGACAACGACATGTTACGTGACGATGCATGCGCGCCTGTATGACACCTTTGATACAATGATGCGTCTCTCTAGACATGTCCTTCTCACAATTGACAACATATAGGTTTGATCACAGTAGCCTCATGGACTTTCGGCCCCTTGTTGAAGCGGACAAGTCCTCCGCCCCCTCACTCTTTCCCCTCCGACCCTCGGCCCTAGGTTCTCCATCCCCATCAGCATCTGTGCCGAACCCAAACTCCCTCATTCGATCCTCATCGATGCTCCCACCATCTTCCGACCTCGCCGCCTTTCTCTTTTGCCTCAAGCTATCAGGCATAGACTTTTCTAGGGAGTCGGGTCCTTCAGCTCTCACATTTGGGTCGGTACAGGAGCCGGACGTGGTGAGGGGGGGAGTCATGAGAACTGTATCCCTGGCGATTTCGTTATCGAGGTCAGGAACAGAAGATCCGACCAGAGCTTGTCTTTCTGAAACCCTTTTCGGCGGTTTCTGGCGTACAGGGGTATCGAGCCTCAAGCCCGTCATTGGCTGAGAAAAGTCATCCGAGCCTTCATGCTCCCCGACTTCCTCTTCATCCCTACCTCCCATACTCTCTATCCTCGTCCCCGATACTGTGGGCGGCTTGCCCCACACTTCCGACTTTGCCTCGCCAAATGGCATGGATTCGAATGAAGAGTCGTCGAATTCTTTGATATGCCATGTAGAATCTCCACCAAGGCGATGATGTTCTTGCTGAGATTCTGTGAATTGGGATTGTGAAGAGGGCCCAGCTAGCCATTCGTGCTCGAGGGCTTGTTTCATGGTCATACGTTCTTTAGGGTCTTTTGCCAGAAGGCGATTGATAAAGTCAATAGCTGATGAATCATGAGCTTTCGGTCGTAAGATGAGTCTGATTTGCTTACCAAGCGCGCTGATTCCCCAGTCAGCGAGCAGGTAGTGGTCCCATTCTTGGGTGAAGCGGGCCTTGATGCGGACCTGTGGTCATCAGTATTGAGTCGCACCTCGAGTGGATGATACATACATCAACGGGGTCTTCACTCTTCTCGTCGAATGGCAACGCCTTCGTCATCATACTGTTTCCCAATCAGTCTTGCGATGATTGGACGCGGTCGTGGCTTACCTGTATACGATGATACCGACAGACCAAGAGTCCACGACGTTCTCGTAGCCTTGTTCGTTCTGCATCATGACTTCGGGCGCCACGTAGACAGGAGTCCCGACCATTGATGTGAGCATGGTACCCGCATGTACTAATAAACGGCATCAGATATATCCTAGTGCGTATGGATGATACTCACCCATCTTAGCGAGGCCAAAGTCGGCGATTTTGAGAGTGGGTGGACCATTTGGATTGTTGTTAAGGAGGATGTTCTGCAGTCACGATCAATTTCTGGTTCAATGTCCACAGCAACCACCTACCTCTGGCTTCAAATCACGGTGTGTGACACCCAAAGAGTGCTAGGAGAGGCGGGTCAGTGACATACGAGAGAGAGGATAAAGTCGTACTGTATAAGCCATTGCACTACATATTTGAAGAGTAAAGGCGGCGGCAAGTTCCTCGGCTGTGACTTGATCAGCTTGGGTATTGAGCCACGAACACAGTGCTTACGGATACCAGAATTGCCTGGGCCATCGTATCCCATGATATAGTCCAGGAGATCGCCGCCGTCCACGAATTCAAGGACAAGGGAGATGTGCTGAGGGTCTTCATACCAGTCGATGAGCCGGCAGATGTTTTCCTGCTAGATTCAGCGTTGGTAAACAAGACGAGCCGTAGAAGCACTGACATGTTCCAAAGACCGGGTTATACTGATTTCTCGGTAAAACATTTGTAGGTTGCTGAGTTTGCTCGCGAAGCGGTGCTTGACAATTTGCTGCAGACAGTTAGTCTCACTCATGAAAGCTGGAGATTTGACTCACTTTGATAGCCCGCATATCCCCCGTCGAAACGTCGACAGCTTTGTATACCTCTGCAAAGGAGCCCGCTCCTAACCTGATCGACATCTCAGCACGCACCGTGCGCGATTGCCCATGGTACTGACCGTTCAAGGACTTGATACCTTTCGTACACTTGCCCGACAGGATCGCTCGACTTGTTGGCCACGGTGCCAGTGTGACCTACAGATCTGTAAATGTATCGGACATCGTGGACTGTGCCGTCTTTATTGGGCAAGGCGCCTTGATGGCCGAGGGAGATTTCATCGCCTTGTTGAAGCAGACGACGGTCAGTCACTCTGACACTGTTGACCTAGCATTAAGTGAGTGGGAAGAGCTACTCTGCGTACACAGGACTCACGAATGTTCCATTACTACTCTTGAGGTCCTCTATCCAGACCTCTGGCTCCTTCTCACCGTTCATCCACATCTGATACAAAGGGTTGACCGACGGACCTCCACTCTTCCCCGGCATCCCCAGCGTCAACCGGCAGTGTTTATTGGAAACTCTCTTTTCCGAGAGTACTATGTCGTTCTTGGAAAGGGACTGTGGCCCTCTGCCTATCTGGATAAACGGCTTTGACCAAGGAATCTTCAAGATCTGTCGGTCGGCGGTGGTAGGGATGAAAATGGCCCCTGCAAGTCGCGTCAGTTGACGTCAACTGTGTAGATTTCAAGGCTTACAGTATCTTCGGTGAGGTTCAAGCTGACTATTGGGCGCTGCCTGGGAGTTTTGTGTCTGCGAGTATATCGGCTGCGACTGCTGTGTGGGCTCGAAGCCGTCGTCATATTGTGAATACTGCTGGGACATGGCGAAGAGGAGAAGACGTGGGGGGGTATGGGATAAAGTAGAGACCTATGTAGTGGTCCCGAGGGTCGCTGGGGTGATATAAAGACGAGCAGACAAGTGAGAGATGAATTCAACATCCATTTCATAGGGCGAGTCTCACGCGTCGAAGGCCGGCGGTTACCGCTTTACGTAAGGATCTCATCACTGCGCGCGATTCCACGAAGCGGCGTCCGTGATATGCGTTCTGTCGTTCAGCTATAGGACACAACACCATGACAGACCCACAAATGCCCGCAAAGGGAACAGGAGAGCCCGCCAAGGAGAATACGGTCGACGCCGCCGCCTCCATTGCCCAGCCAGCCAACCCTACGTCGGCTTCCCAGGACGCTCCCGAGTCTTCATCTACCCCTGCAACAGATCAGAACGTGTCCCCGACAGCCTTACAACAAAGCCTCAACAAGGAGAACTTCCAAAAAGAAGTTGGACAGGTCCTGGGATCGTTCAACAGCTGGTGGGGCGGGGTCAAGAAACAAGTGAGTGCCCTTGAGAAAGGAGTGGTGCCAGCTGCCAACGACATTGTAGTCTGCTTCCACTTTTGCCACTATCAGAGCAGATCTCGACAAGACTGTTACCCAAGCCCAGGCGGACTTTGAATACCTCAAAACAGCCAAGGTGGAAGTTGTCGCCAAGGACCCCGCACAGTTTGAAGCCGAGCAGGAGGCTGAAAGGGCCAAGAAAGCAGCTCAGAAGGAGGCTGCTGCTCGCGAGGCTGCTTCCAAGGCGAAGGGCAAGGGGAAAGAGACCGATCCCGCCGAGGACCCCTCTCTCTTCTCTGCAGCATTCATCAACCGCCTCACATCCTCCACCAGTCAGCTCCAGAACACCCTTCGGACCACCTTGCAATCCACAATAGACGCCGCTGCCCATAACCCCGCTCTCTCGAACCCTTCCGTTCTCCGTGAGCAACTTGTTGAAAACCTCAGGCTGTCCTCTGCGCGCGAAAACTTGCAGCTATCAGTCAAACAAGCCGAAAAGCTCGCGGAAGAGTATCTGCGCAAGGGTGATCAATGGGTCAAGGATGCGGAGAAGTGGATGGAGGACGCTGTCAAGGTTATGCCCCCTGACGGTGAAGAGGCCCATGGTGTTAGCCTAGGTGGTGACTACTACCACTTTTCGACATCTGGCGCCCCTACTTCTGGTACCAACAGCGGCGCTGAATCCCGATCTCGCAGCCCTGCTGGTATTATCGCTGCCGGTTCCCGTAAAGATGCTCTACTTGGTCAGCTCCGGGAGGACAAGAATATGCTTCTAGTCGACCCAGAGGGAGAGGCTGAAACTGACAAAAGGAAGGCGGAGTTCAGGGAATGGGTCAAGGAGCACTGGAATGATGAGACCAGGAAGGCTGGGCGTGAAGATGAGGCATTGGTTGGCGCCGTAAGAATTGAACTCGGTGAGTTTCTAGTCTATCCATTGCAACTTTGCTGACATGCCAAAGTCCCCGAACAACTTTCGGACGATCAATTCTGGCAACGTTACCTGTTCCACAAGCACATGATCGAGGCCGAGGAGCAGAAGCGAAAGCTCATTCTTCAAGGTGACTGATGATCGTCATATTTGCGTACCATGCTAACAGTTCGCAGCTACCCAACAACAGGAAGCGAACGACGACTTTAACTGGGACGACGAAGAAGAGTCCACGCCCTCTGTGGCCGCTCCTGCCCCGTCGACTACCGCCCCTGCCGCTGACACCGCCTCATCATCGGCAACTCCCAAAGCCTCTACCGACGGCAAACTCCCGTCCTCTGCGCCCGGCCCGGTCAAGTCCGTTGCCAGCGTTGCCACGAGCCCGAGAGATTCCGAGGAGAGCTATGACATTGTCAGTGATCAAGCAGTGAAAGCGAAGGCTGCTCCTCCAGTGGAGACAGAGGAGGATGAAGATTCAGATTGGGAATAAGTAGTAGGGGGGGCCTTTTGACTGTTGTTGTACATAGGTTTGAGGTGTCAAGGGGTAGGAAATATCAAGTGGGAGTTGCGCGACCTCTTGAGAGGATCCGCCCGTAGTAGTCTTGTACGATGTGATGATGACGCATGGTTCATTACATCTGTTGCCTACTGTTATTGCTGGGGATAGGTTGAAGAGTACACCTGGAGCACACTCTTGTCGTCGTTGTCCACGATATAGCATCACGTGACCTCGACAAAAGTCAAAGTCCAAAATCAAAACAAATCTCGGTCCTTGAAAGCATCAAATCAAAGAACACTCAGCAAAACAAGCATCATGTCAACTGAGCAGGCCACTGGGTTCGATCGTGATCAGTTCTTGAGTTGGTTCAAAGGCGCTGGCGGTTGGTACAACGAAACCGCTGTCGACCTCATACCCTACCCTGGCATGAACTATGGTGCTACCGCCCTCGAAGATATCAAGGTGGGCTCATACTTTATCATTCAGTCTCGAGCTGACATGTATTTCAGGAAGATGCTCCTCTGTTTCATATCCCAGACTCTCTCATTCTCTCGCCCTACACATCTACTCTCAAGGAGCACCTGTCGTCTGAAGAATGGGAACAGCTCGGCCACGGATGGTCGCAGTTGATACTAGTAATGATGTGGGAGAGCATACGAGGAGACGAGAGCCGATGGTCTGGCTATCTTGGTGAGAAAGCGCCTTGGACTCGTAGCAATTATAGCTGATTGCAACGCAGGAAATATGCCGAGGCAATTCGAGACGCCCATGTTCTGGAGCGAAGAGGAGCGAAAGTATCTGGCTGGGACAGATATCCAAGGTACTAGTCCTCAGGTGCTATTCTGATAGTAGTTACTGACTATATGGGTTCAGACAGAATAGGTCGAGAGGACGCCGAACAAGAATATACCAACGTCCTCCTGCCCGTGATCTCTGCCCACCCAGAACTCTTCCCCGTTGGATCACCCCACACCTCCATCGACGCTTTCCACCTCCAAGGATCTCGTATTCTCTCTCGCTCGTTCACTGTCCCTCTCAGTCGATTCGACAACACACCCAAAGCTGCGGAGCAACCAGAGGATAGCGACGATGAGGAAGAGGAGGACCAAGGGGTGGTGGTGATGATGCCTTTTGCAGACATGCTGAATGCTGCATATGAAAAAGACAATGCTCATCTGTTCGTGGATGAGGAAGCCTCGGAAGAGTTCAAGAGTGGGGTCATGATGAGAAGTACCAAAAAGATCACAAAGTCTCAGCAGATTGTAAGTACTGCCAAGGTAGCGTTCGTATAACTGACAGAGGTTAGTTTAACACTTACGATGCCCCGCCCAATTCCGAGCTCCTCAGGAAATACGGGCATGTAGATGTCCTTCCTCTCCTCAAAGACATCACCAAGCTCTTGAAATCCTCAAAGGTTGGCGCCGAATGGCCGTTCGGAAATGCTGGCGATGAGGTGCTTCTGTCTGGAGAGGCCATCGTTGAGAGCGTGGCAGAGACGCTCGGTGAAAAGGCTGATGACAAGTGGAGGGACGACATTAAGACCAGGATAGATTGGTGGCTCGAGGAAGGCCAAGAAGAGTGAGCTACATGCGAGGGCATGGATTGCACAAGCTCACCCGGCGCAGTGCGTTCCCTCTTGGATACGACGAAGAGATTGACGACGGGTTGATCTCCTTTGCCCGCCTGCTCTCGAACGACGAAGATTGGGAGAAGGCTCAGAAAAAGAGCAAGCCCCCCAAGCCGACTGTTGATGGGGATGTCGCTGCTATCATCATCAAGGCTATTGAGCAACGAGAGAGCACGTACGAAGGGGCCATTGAGGTATATCAAGCCTTCTTCCTCGTGTCATCAACTAATGTTGTTTTGCAGGATGACATTGCTACGCTGAAAGCCTCCACCCAATGGTCTGCCATCAACTCTCCAGACGCACTCAAGTCTGACGAGACGCCCGTAAGCCAACAACGCAAAGAGATGGCTGCTGTTGTCAAGCTGGGCGAGAGACGTATCCTCAAGATTGCTTCTCACGTCATCAAGAAAGCTGTCAAGACGGAGGCCGCTGCGTCAAAGAAGAGGAAGGCAGGTTCTGTCATGGTAGGAAAGGGCAAGAAGCTTTCATAGGGCAGGACGAACTTCTGGGTATTGTACAGCGTATATGCTACATGACCTTGCGTTGTTGACAGCAGGAAATCTCAGTCGTGCACTGTCGCGGCCTGCGGCGCACGGGTGGTCCTCGGCCTTTGACTCTTGACCCTTGACCTCTGGCCTCTGACTCTTACCTCTGTCTTCTCAGAAGCGGGAACCAACAAGATCTGACCTGGGTGCGGCTGACATGGCTGATACCTGAGGCCTGATACCTGCTTGAATCAACGTTGTGGCTTGCGCCAGCGTGGCTATTGGATTGATTGGCATACGTAGACTCCCTTCCAGGCAGTGTTGACAAAACACAGACCATATCTACAGTCATATGCTTTTTGACTTCAGATTTTTTTTACGGGCTGGTCTCAGATGATTTCACGCTTCATGTTCGGCTCTGTTCGGTCCGCCCGCTGCCCGCTGCCCGTTCCCTCTTTTTCCTCCTTTTCTATGCGGCCGAGATGTCTCTGAGCTCTGACAGGATGATCGCCGCTGTCCCGTGTGCGAGCCAGCCATCAGCCACGAGCCGAGGACCATTCCCCACTGTTTGCGGTTGTCCTGCTCTGTGCAACCTCAATGTCTCACATGACGAGAACGTCAACTGGGGTACGAAATGAATGTGGGGAAGGGCAAAGGGGCAAGAGCAGTTATGGATAAGGGGAAGGGGAAGGGGGATAAGGAACAAGGGACAAGTTGCAGTGGGAGCAAAATAAGCAGTTGACCGCCTCAGGTATAATCGAGGAGTTGGGGGACATGACGATGATGAGCCAATCAGCTCTTTCTCAGCTCGTCGTCCTTTCTCTCTCAGCTCGCTCTCTGCGTGCAACCACTGCCTGCATGGCTGGATGAGGTATTATGATGCATGTCCGGGGTGTCCGTCTCACGTCGATCACTGAGGTGACGGCATTTGAAGCGTCGGTTTTTCAAGATTACAAGAAGCAATTAAACAAAAACAAGCGCAGACTCCCCTCTCCGTGCATCCCTGTCAGTGGGACACGGACAGAGTCTGCTCTCCTTGTTCGAGGCCCTCTGCGTTTGGTTATCCAGCCGCAACAGGCGCAGTGGTCATGCGTACGTATTGCCCATGGATGCAAGAGTAAGAGGCAAGGGGCCGAGGCATGCCCATGATAGAGCAGCACCGAGGCACGTGGCCCGGCATGTCTCGGCAACCTGCACGGCGTCTGCGGCAGCTTTTGTTAATACCGGCGTTTGAACTTTCAGTTAGCTTAAGGAAATGATAGATCACTTTTTAGTCCTTCCTCGGGGCAGCAAGATCTAATTTGTAGATTAGATCTTGGATCTCGGACTAGTCTCAGATCTCTCTGTGCGACCCCCGCCCTCTGCATCTCCATGCAGCAGAGACGCAAGAGACGTCTTTGGCTGTGGTCTCGAGTGCTATCGGCTCGCTTCACATCATGCACCCCCAACCTGCACCGAGCTGCCATCCCCAACCCATGAGGGCCATGCCCCATGAAAGTCGAAAAGGGTCGGAGAACAGGGAAGAGGGCGTTCGGCTTTCGGGTGAACAACTGGGGAAGAGGGGAAGAGTGGGGCTTTGCACCTGGCACCTGAATCTGACGACGGCCTGCGCGGCCTCAATGGCCTGAGAGCCTGGTCTACTTTGCGCTTCAGCCGCTTGCTTGCTTACTCGGGGCTCGGGGCTCGGTGGTTATAAGTGATCATAACCCTGTTTGACTGCTTGCACTGCTTGGTGTTTACCATCCCGCAGCATACAGCAATTTGGGGGACTGGAGCAGGTAGCGGCCAGCCAAGCCGAGAGAATGTACAGTTTTGGCGAGTATATGCATGCTGCAGAAGCCTTGCCGAAGGCAGTAAAGGCCGGCTCAGCTCAAGGGCAGCCTCGAGATTGAAGACCTTGAAGGCTGGCCAAGTAGTGGCAGTAAGCAGAAAACGGCTACAAACGAAAAGAGATGCATCTGATGCACATGCATGTGATGTCAAAACAAGCAGCAGGTTTCAGTTGAAGGTGACAAACTCGAGAGCAAGTCAAAAAGCTTGCGTGGAAATTCTTGCTGCTGATCCTTTCGGACCTGGGGTGACATACCTCAGGCACGCATACACTCGGGTTGTGGGGTTATCTGATTATTTGTACCGCCCTCCAGCACCACCAGCATCATCATGTACAGCTTCCCTCGAGTCCAGTACTTGCCATCTTTGGTCTTGACAGGCCTAAAAGGTATCATCATGTCACGGTGGGGCTTGTAGGCGAGACGGGAAAGAGCGCGTCACCAGCTCCAACGTTCACGTTATCCACTTCTTTCCCGTGAGTCGTCTTGATTGCATGCTGCACACTTCTGCATCATCGCGAGCCCGCCCACGACTGGTAGCGCATGATTCCAGCAATGTATCGCAGCTACTAGAGGACGTCGTACGCCCTTCAACACAGATCATCTGCCCGTGTTTGGCTTTGCTGGAATCACTAGAGGTGACTCACTTGATGTCGTTCCGTCTTCGTACGACGTGTCCGGAATGGAAAAGTTACTACATTCGAAGGCAGAGCTCGAGGAGTGGCAAACGTATGGCTTCTGGGTCCTCTTTTGATTGCATGTATCAGAATAATTAGCAGCTGACTCCAACAATTGACTGCATAATCCCGTTGTACCCGGTGCACGGCCCACGGTGTGCGTACTGCATATGCATACCTGGTTGCGGAAAAGAAGGAGCAAACCAGAGCGCCCAGAGCAAAGGGCGACAGACAGAAGAGAAGAGAAGCGAACAAGCTGGAGGCGATTCTAGCGAGGGGTGCGGCGTATGGTTATGTGACGTTGAGTGACGCATCATATCCACCACGGGAGCCACGGGCTCGCACACTCTGCCGTAGAGGTGATGCAGGGGTGACGGGGGACAGTGTAGGGCGGGTACAGTAGACGAAGAGTGAATGCTTGGGCATGCATGGAGGAAGAAAGGTCGCTATGGGGAGTTGGCCGTTGGAAGACAAGACCGAGGACCGAGGTGGTCGAGGGCAGGGCGCGGAAGCAAAGAAAAGGCGTTAGTGCTACGTAATGGATGTCGGAGGAGGAGATTAAGGTGTGACCCTGACAGATAGACGGGCAGCGGTGCCTGGAGTGTTCCCCAATTACCACCGTGTCCGGCCAGCTTTCTCGTCTGCATCTCCATCTCTGCACCATGGCCAAGCCAGAGCTCAGAACAGCCCACAGCGCCATCAGCAGCACCAGCGTGAGTCCGTGCCCCCTCCTTTCCGCCCCGCTCACGCCGCCCAGTCCCCGAGCTGGTCCAACTACATGACCTTCACGCCCCCGAACGCCGACCAGTCCAGGCCCAGGCAGGACGACTACCACGCTTTTGCTCGCGGCATCGCAGCGCAGCCCGCCCACTCAAACACCATGAATCTCCAGCAGCCACACCGCCGCATGTCCCGCACCCCGTCCCAGACACAGTACAACACCGCCCCCTCGCCACAGGGCAACATGTACCCTCCACCCACCTACCCGTACCCGCCGCCACCCCCCGTCCGCCAGGACTCGTATCCTCGGGCGTCGCCCGTCATGACAAACGACCCGACCCTGTGGAGCAAGAACTCTCCGGCAGAGCTCAGCCAGGCGGGCTCCTCTCGCAGCAGCGGGCCGCTGCAGATGCCGTCAGACACTGAAAGCTCTGGCAGCAGCCACGGCAGTTCTTCAAGAAGCCACGACAATGGGCTCACACTCGACCTCTCTTCCTATCCCAAAGAATTCAAATTTCAGATCCCTTCGTTCTTGACGAGCAATTCGACCGGAGTGCCCACCTGGCCGCCTGGCGGCGAGGCGTGGAGCGGTTTTACGGGACCAACCCTCTTTGGTTCGGATGGTCAGATGACTCCCGGCAACATGTTTAACAATTCTTTTTGCTCGAACGGCGGACCTGTCCAGACCCAGCCACACGACCCATACTATTCGCAGAACGGCGTCTACGACTGGAATGGGATGAACGGCGATGGAGCGATGAAGCAGGGGCAGGATATGGGTGGGTACGGGATGGTTTACGTCAACCCGAATCCTAGTCCGAGCGTATTCGGCCAGAGAAATCAGGCCAACAATGCTCAACGGCCTCAAGCACCCCAGCAGCCTGGCTCCAATGGCTCTGCGCCCAGGATGGCTGGTCCTCAGCAGTCCAACGGGTCCCACCAGAGCCACGGGCCGGGGCCGCCACAGCCCACTCCACTCCAGCCCCCTAGTCATCAACACAACCCCACTCCCTCTCCCCGCATGTCCCAGCCGCCTTCTTCTGGCGCCATGCCCACCTCCGCCATCCTTCCTGCGCAACCCGAATACCCAAACAACACTCACGCCCCCATCCACCAATCCAGCATCCACAACATCCCCTCCATCTCCATCCCTACCGACGGAAAGGGTGGTCCGGTCAACTTTGCTTCGTCCTCGCAAGCGCCTTATGTGCCCTCGCTCAGTGCGCAGGCAATGTTGCAGGGCGGATATCCCTCGGCGCTGCATGATGGGCCGGGGCTGTACTCGACTACAGGATTCGACATGTTGGGTGTGCTTGGGAGAGTTGCGGCGAGAAAGAATCCGAGTACGGTTCTTGGGCCCGTGGATCTGAGTTGCAGTTTGTTGGTCGTCGTGAGTACAGCCTGCTAGTCTGCACTACGTTGCTCACCTTTTGCAGGACATTCGACGATACGATTGCCCCATCGTCTACGCTAGCCCGAGCTTTACCAAACTCACCGGCTACGAACTTCCAGAAATCATTGGCCGCAATTGCCGCTTCCTTCAGAGCCCCGACGGCAACGTCGTCAAAGGCGCCAAGCGCGAGTACACCGACAACCAGGCTGTCTCTCTGCTCAAGCGCTCGCTTGATGCCGGAAAAGAATGCCAGACGTCGTTGATAAACTACCGCAAGGGTGGTGACCCGTTCATCAACCTTGTCACTGTCGTTCCCATTCCCTGGGATGGGCCCGATATTGCGTACCATGTAGGGTTCCAGATTGATCTCGTCGACCAGCCCAACAAGATCCTCAACAACATGCGCAACGGTTCCTACACGATGGACTA